AATAAATTTCGCATATAGGATCAGATATCTGTCAATACGTGCTTAAAAACTATTAAGATGATCCAACAGATCTACATTTAGATGGAAAACAAAGCAATTATACATCAGTTTCAGACCAACAATTTCGTAGCATTCACTCAAGATAATCCTAAGGTATACATTTAAATGCTGATACCGAAACATTTAATTTTTAAATTAAAAAAACAATGAGGCCAAATGTGATAAAGCGATTCATGGGAAAATAAAAATTCACGAAAAATAGAGCATAAACAAAGAATGTAAGAGAATGCACTAATTAGTACAAAATTGTCAAACTTGTTTTTAAATCTATCATACTTGACTGGGTTCTGAAGTGAGGATGGACTAGAATGAGTTGAGATTTTGCAGCCAGTATCGTAAAGTAGATTGTCTGATCGCTCCAAGTATTGTTCTGCTTTGTGCACGGTTTCTGTAGCCACTTTGACCTAAAACATTGTTATAAGAGAAACTTGTACTTGATAAACCAGGATCTCCCGCAATAAATCTCGAGCCTGGTGGGGGCGATATTCATTTGCAAGATGATGCATATTGATAAAAAGAATGGCCAAGTGATCGAGTTTTTCTGGACGCTTTGGGGAACTTGGATCACGAGTAATTATATCCAACAAATCCAAATAATTTGCCAAAATTGAGAAGTTAAGTTTTCGAAGTTCCCGCTTCCTGTTGTATGTCTGCAATAAATAAAAATTCATATAAGAAAATTTACTTGAGGGTAAACTCTGCGAACATCCTGTGATTCGAGAGACCTGAGTATTGAGTCATCTGAATTGAAATAATTGCCAAACATGCGATACGTTAGGGGTCCAGGAGGAGTGGGAGGTTTAGACGTCGTAGATTGCACGGTTGTTGCATTTGAGTATTTGTTGATTACCTGCCAAGGAGGTATCGGAAAAATGCTGACGTGTGAAGTCAAGTCGTTAGACTTAGGAGTTTGATTCATAGATAAGGGTATGATTTTATCTTAAATATTTTTTATTATTTTGTAAGCAGGATTTTAAAAGAACAAATTCTTTCTCACAACACTGCTTTTTAACGTCGCTTTGAGCTGAAACACACTTCCCGTATGAAATTGCTTCGCTTCGGCAAACTAGCAAAAGCTTGGGAAACTTGGTAACACAATTTTTGAATCTTTCACTAGAAGCCAGCATACCGCCCCATTAAGTGTAAATATATATATAAGAGATGAACGGAGGCAAGCAAATCTGCTTTTTGCGCGCAGATGAAAAATTGCAAACAAGTTTGAAAAAACATGAATTTTTTTTTAAATTAATGTTTGTAATAAGGAAGGCATAATGCACGCTAATTTTGAATACAATAGTTTAAAAAAGGTTGACAATTAAGTATGCACCTTGTAAATTGCATTTTTGACCCCCTTATACTATATGTGAAGTAAAGTTGGGTACACACACCTCCAGTCTAATAGAAGTGTGCGGTAAAGATATTCATAGGCTAATTACACAAGAAAATGATGTCAAATTTCTCTTGGCCAGATCTGGATTGGCCGTACCAAAACATTGTTTATGCTGTTTCCACGGCAATTACCTGTGATTCCTGTGAAAACGAGCTAGGCTATCGTCATATGATTGGGATCATAAGAGCAGGGTATTATTTGTAATGGTATATACAAGCTAAATAATTAAGAAAGCTCACTAACCTATTCCTAAATACTGTCTATATACCTCATATATATTATATTTTGCCTGAGTATAGATTAACTTGTTTAGTTCAAATAATGTTTAAATCTCGACGCATTTGAATATGTCCCATTGTCTATACTTATGTGTCCTTGTGTGTTCACATAGCTACGAAATCATAAATGCTGGCTCTTAATAGTTATAATATACATTACTATTTATATTTTAACAATCACACTGGGAGTAGGTCTTGTTAAATTAATAAAATTTTTTATCACACGTGAGAGAAAAAATGGACGAAGATGTATATAAAACTGAACGAAATTCGAAGCATTAGTTTAATCATCTTTATCTGCCAAGCAGCTTAATACACTTTAGCTCAGAGTCTATCATGCAAATATAAGTAATTGAATACAGTAGGTTGACTAATCGGTTGATTTAGATGGCCCTCTAATTTTTCGCTTAGCTTCGGACGTAATATATTAAGCAAAACAACGGGTTTGAGACCATTAACCTAATGTCCATTTACCATGCGCTAAACAGGTCCTAATTTCTAAATCACAAGACTATAAAACTCACTTTTATGTTTAGTCTCGTATTGTCTAATAAGAGAATAATTAAAAGGATTGAAGAAATGTATACTAAGATGATAAGACCTTTTGTTTATTTGAATTTTTCTTTCGTTGTATAGAAGTTGTTTGACCATGTTTTTACATCTGGGTCAAATTG